TTCAAGCTTCAAATGACACCTCAACGTCCAGAATGGGTTTAAAAGAGCTTTAACCACAGGTGAGACTGAGGTCAGGACAGTCAGGTGGTCTACGACTGACAGTCTGCGTGACGCAGTTGTCAAATGGACCGTTCAGGACTGTAGACCGATGAATACTGTTGAAGACAACGACGTCACCAAAGTTAAGATGAACTGTAATGACTGAAGTACAGTCAATACTCTATGACGACTAATGTTGACGTTACACATATGAGTTGACATTTTTTCCATTCTACTGTATCATTGCTCATTGGATTAGTCACCAATAAAATTTGGTGTGAAACACTGACATCTACCTGCTGTTTATTTAATTACGCTTTCTGTTCCAGTAATATACAGTCTTTTAAAAAATGTTGATTTATGTTGATTAATCAATCATTAATTCCATTGACTAAAATGGGCTAACATTGAATATATACTGTTTTTAATTTTAAACATATAAACCTATAGAGACTATACTGTTCTTTCCATTTCCCGTATAATTTATTATTTGAGTTACTTCCAGAGAAGCCCTTCTTCACAGCGGCTGCCAAACTACTGTTCTTTGTTTCACCTTAAATGACTGGGAGAAAGGCGCATGCGTCGTGAAGAGGCAGCCGTTACAGTCTGTCTCACAGAGTAGTTACGACTCAAATGGTTCTTAAACGTTTTAGGGACATCTAGCGGTGGATATGTGGCAATACATACGAACAGAACATAATTTATGACGTCAAGTACTTTTAGTTTTTTGGGTGTGGTATAATCCGTGACCGAACTACAGTTCATATCTTGGCTTCATTCTGATTACATGGTTCTAGAGTATATTTCACACTGGGTCACGTGGTCAGTGTCCCCGCCTTACATCGAAAAAATCCCCGGGTCAGACTCCTCTGGTTACTAATGGTGTTTTTTTTTTTTTTTAATATGGATTCTGCAGCATAAACCAGGATGTACCCCGCCCTCACCCAATGACTAAGCTCCTCTAGAACCCCACCCTAACCCCACCCTCTCTCAAAGATGCACGGATATTTTAGACCTATTGTTTTTCCCAAAGGGCCTACCCTGAAGTTATTTTACTGATGAAACAGATAAAAATCATATATGAACAGTATTTTTACTGACAAGTTGCAACACTAGAGGGCAGCATTAAAAACTGAAAGGGAAAATCTAACCTTATAAAACGGTAAATATATATTTACGTATCTTTTCCTGTTATGCAAGAACTGCAGGTATTTATTTACTTCGAGGCTGTAAAATATCACCACAGCTGATCTCTAAGAATAACTCAGATATACTACTTTTTTGATTTGATGCAGTGTTTTCTTAACAAATGAGAACTGTAACAAATGTGGCGCCGATGTAAAAACTTCTCCTTAAAGTTTCTTTTTGGCAGCTATACTAAAACATTTTGACACTGAACATCTGACACGTAAAAAAAACCAAAGCTGCTGACGCAGCGGAGCTGTCAGTGAGGAGTGATGTGTGAGATAATGTGCATCAGATGTGAACATCATCGCTGGCCTCAGTATTTTCTGGATTCTTTTTGGTACTGCACAAACGTTGCAAAATATTTTCACCCAGACACGGACCAAGGAAGAAACGATACGCTCGATTTAAACGATTAAAACACAAAAAAACACACATTAGACACACAAATGACAGTTTGTCAAAAAAACCAAAACTTTATTCGTTAATTTTGCTAAATGAAAAAAAAAAAGTCAGTATTTTCTCCCGAGTGCCGATCACTTCTTCACCTGCTCCTTGCAAACGTAAAGCTTCTCACAGGCGATTGACAGACCGGCGATGAAGGAAAAAAACTGTTCAAACTTCAGCCTGTCCACTCTGTCTTCGTCCAAATCTTTCATAATTCTGTCCACAATATTCGGGTCATCCTGGGACTAGAAGAGAAGGGGGGGAGAGAAGGAGGGAGAAGGCGGGGGCAGGTTAAGGACAATGATTCCTATAATCAGTGAGTGATAACAGACGTCAGACTCTTACTTTTAGGAAGGTGGGAACTTCATTCTCCAGTAGAGTTCTTAGTCCTTTCTTGTTTAACGATTTCCCATTCCCGTCTTTCGTGGCGTAGCGGTGGAAAACTTTAATTAAAGTCTCCATGCCAATCTCCATATCAGTCATGGCTGCAAAAATATGTGCTGAAATGGAGAAAAAAAACAGAGCACAGTGAGGCTTCACACAAAAAAGGAACTAAGACCAAGATGATGGTTGGGTGACTCAAAAAATACTTCAAAATGTCAAAACCAACAAGACATTTAATGAAACAGCTTAACTAGCTGACTTAGACTTCTATTAGTACATTTGAAAATTAATTTTATTTAATTGCTGTGAACACTTTATATTCCATATACTATACTTTTTATTCACTGATAATAATTTGCCTTGGTCTATGCGACAGTGCAAGGTAGAGCAATGCAATCTTCTTACACTAGGTGGCAGCAGATGGCAATAAAACAACAACAAAAAAGGAAACCGTGTTGAAAATCATCAAAATGCAGAGAAATGACTAAAATCCACAAACTCAAAAATTAATATTTATTTTTTTAAATCCCAAACGTTTCAAGTTTCAAGTGGAACTTTCGTAATTTCATGTCATTTACAGACTTAAATGATCACTGCAACTTGGGCTTCCCACGCTAAACCGCTAACGAGTACTGAAAATAGAAATACTTCAAGATGCTACTTCAACTGGTTGTCTTTTTTCAAACCAGAGCAGCGTCAGCTGATAAGAGCTGTCAAAGATGAGGTTGGAGCTCATGTGAACCAACAACATTCCCGTTCTGCACACAGGAGGTGATGACCATTACGTTAAGGCTGACAGGGGCGAGGTCAAAGCGTGACATTAACAGTGAAGCGAGACGACTGCAGACAGGTTTGAGAATGGGTAAAAAAAAAACAAACAAAAAAACAAAAAGAATCATCCAGAAAGAAAGTCAGAGGTGGAGACGACTGCTAGAAAATAACCAGAATGTTCTGCAGCTCGACTCACGGACCCCGCCCGTCTGCACTGTGTCGGTACACACACACACACACAAGGCTTTTTCAGTCACGTCTGATAGTAGTTTCTGACTGAGCTGTTTTTTCAGGAGGATACAGGTTTGAAATAATGACATATTACAACAAGATAGGTTTGAAATATATAAAATATATATAATTTGTCCAAAGACTACTGGTTCTGGCTCCGCCCCAACCCACACCATCAGCCTTAAATGCATTAAGCTATAGTAGCAGTGAATTAGTGAACATTAATCAGCCTTTAATGGATGTAGTCAATAAACAAACGTTCACTGAAACATGAAGATTTAAACACTATTAATTCAAATCTGAAAATAATAAGTCTTTTTCACCTAAACCTTAAATATGTCTTCCACATGACATATGTGGAAAGTCCTTTTATTAGCATATTTACTATTTTATATGCATGTGTGTAGCTGACCTTTCAAAAAGCCCATTTGTCTATAAAAATATTTGTGTTAGCTAGCACGTTAGTAAAATTGATCTTTGCAGAAAGCAAATATGGGACATCACAATTAAGAAGTTAAATATTTGCAGTATTAACAGCAAACACAGGAAGCATATTAGCCAAAAAAAACAACAACATTTGCATCATCTTTAGTTTAAATTGACCGTAGGTGTGAATACGAGTGTGAACGGTTGTTTGTTAATATATATGGACTATGAATATATATGGAGTGTGGGACCGTCCTGAGTGGACCCTGCCCTTGTTTGCGGAATGGTTTAGTTCAGTCAACCCACGTTCTAAATGTCATGTCGTTCCTTTAAATATCATACATCGGTGTAAATCAATTATACGAACGTGAATACGTGTCCTTGTCAAGTGGGTCTACGTTTAGCAGAATGCTAAAGCACGGGGGGGGGAGGCTGACCCCGCCCTGGGTTTCATACCACCTAGACCAGGTGTTTCTGGTGACCCATATTTTAAAAGTCACAAACCTTCGCGACCCATACCAATAGACATTATTCGTTAACTCCTGGGAAACATGAGGCGAGACGACACCCCCCCAAAAAAACCTCTTGCGACCCACCTGAGGGGCCGTGACCCAGTCTTTGGGAAACAATGACATAGACCCTCCTCCCCAAATCCCAGCATTTGTAAGTTGTCTTTCGAAGTATAAATCCAGTACAGTAGTGACTGTGTATATATTCCTTCATATGTATTACAGCAACAAGCGGTCGAACATTATTTGTGAATTTGTGGCGTTCAAGTAAAATTGGCACGAATTGATTATGGACAGATACTAATGAGGTTCAAGTTCAAAATAACTGCCAGATTAAAATGAACGTTAGAACAAACGACACGCCCACAGTTAAGTTTGAGAATTAAATCAAATAACTGTAATAATTGAATTAACGTGTGACTTGATGGGCGTGTGGCTGTGACTGACAGGGTGTGTGTTTTATCAGCCTGTTAAAATTAAAGGATGTCAGTGTTGGTTTTACTGGCCCTCCGTACAAATTCTTCGCCTGTGATAAAACACTGTTTCCTGGCTCGTAGCTGGAATCCTTATCTGTTGGAGCCACACTTCGCCTCTCCCTCCATTTTAACCATTCCGGGTCCGACTTTTAGGTGGAGGGGGGGAGAAATATATAAAATGAGGGGATGAGAAAGGCAGAAGACAGGTCACGACTTGTTAGAGAACAGGTGTCCGTGTGCGCTCCAGCCATTCATGGAGAAGACAGGCTGTAGTTTTACACAGAAACTTCTAGAAAAAACCCAAAACAATAACCGTTAAACCGGTGCAAACCAGATACTACTACACGAAGAGCGTAGTAACTACAACTACTGTACGTCAAACTACGACGTCTTCCTTATTTAAAAAACAAAACAAATAAACGATATTTGCAACAAGAGAATGAGGAAACGGTTGGTTTAATAACGACAACGAGGCACATTTTAAAAACATTATAAACTTACCAGAGCACCAACTACAGGCAGAGGCTGCGGCTACAGATTCAGAGAGGAGCGAAGAGCCACTGTGGAAGTTTATTCAAGTATTTATAGTGGGCGGGCAACGCCCAGTGTGTGTGTGTCTGTGTCCGTGTGCGTGTGTCCGTGTGCGTAACCGTGGCAACTGGGAGAGAGAGCGCGAGAAAGAGCGAGAGAGAGAGACCGTGGCAACGCCATACACAAACACCATCCCACTTGTTTGTCTTATAGATTTTTCGAAACCACCGAAACAGAAAGGAATCTACGGAGTCCGAGATCACGTGACTCCGTCGCTGTTCACACTAGGCATTTTTTTCAAAGGAATCATCTGAAGTGATGTCACTCCCAAAACACTCAGGTCCAACTACAGCCTGCAACTGCTGCTACTGCAGTGGCGGTCTAAGGTCCATGTGGTCTACGGCCCACGTTGGCAGCTGCCACTGGGAGAAAAACCAAAAATTATCCAGTTTCCACCACATTCATAGGCTAAAATAAATACTTCTATGCATCACAACGCATTAAAAGTAGAAAAAAAAAATGAAGGAGATGTTTGTGAAAATTCCAATCTGGATCCTGTCGTCTTGAGTTTGTTTAGAGACGCCAGTGCCTTCATCTACCACGGGTGTGAAACTCGTTTTCACGAGGGATCGGTTGTGAAGGGACGACGATTATAAATGTTTCTGCAATTGATTATTATTTTTTCAAGTTACAAATATTGTTCATTGCTGTGTGATAAAAAACAACTTTTAATTTATCAGGTTAAGAAACTCTTAACTTAAGCTCCCACGGGCCATATAAAGTGACCTGGGGTGCCGCATTTGGCCCCCGGGCCTTGAGTTTGACA